AATGGTTATAACCTTAACAAAGATTATATTTATTTATGTAAATAAAACCTCAAAATTTGGTGATATATAATTTGAGGTTCTTTGTGCATTGTTTAGATTAGCTTATTACTCTATTTTTTATTACTATTGTTTCTCATGAGTTTTCCATATGGGATACATAGAAAAGTAAACTAAAAGGGACTATATTTTTCCATTCCATTTGTCTCCAAGACATCAATCCTCTGCGTCATGCCAGTATGCCACCATTTTGTAAACACATGTGCATCAACTTGCTTACTCTCGCATTAAATTGTGGCCTCATCGTATTTATGGGCCATGGCTGTAAGTTTCGGTGAGTTTGAAAGTTGAATATAGTTACGCAAAATTTATTGTTAACTTGTCACTAATCTATCTTTTTATTGATTGATTATATATTTAATTATTTTTGCTCATGTGGAGGCTCTTAGAAGCCACAAAATCTTTCTCTTTTATAAAAAGGAGATATTATTATTATCAAACATGTGTGTATACTATTACTATTTTTTTTTTTCATCTGAACATTGCATTATATATATCATGGGCTAATTACAACAAGTATACTATTACTATAATATATTTGTTTTTAGCATTGAATAAAATAGTGCAATGATACGTCGAAATTAAATATGGCATCACCATACTCTAGTATGTACTTTCAAAAATGTTTATTTTTGGAATTAAAGACATAGTCAGAGTATCACAATGGTTGTTGGAAGAGAAATATAATAACACAAAGTGTAATGGAACAAATCTACTCTCTGATGCTTATAATAACTGCATTGAATTTGACTCAAATATTGTTGGCATATAACATTCAAAAAGATGAAAGTTTGAGAAATATATGTCGCATTAAATATTTCGTGATCTCTATTCCAACAGTTTTGCCATAGATATTTGTTTTTCTTATATAAGTAGAGGGTGATCCACATTTTTACCATCTAATTAATTATGTTTTAGTGGTGAGTCATCGAATATCTCACACACCGGGTTGTTTAATGAATATAAAGCATGACACCATTTTGACTGGTAAAATAAAAGAGTTTTGGTAAAATAAGAGAACTTAAATAATTTCACGTTTGAAAAAATTGATTTGATCAATGTGGAAGAAAAAAGAAAAACTAAAAATTAGCATTGTTGCGGTGCAAAGAAATAGTATCTATTTATTCCGAAAAAAAATGTGTATATAATGTAGCAATTTAATTGGTATGAGACTATGAGTAGCTCGAATCAAGTGTCCTTCGAGTCAAGCAATAAAGTATGAGACTATGAGTAGCTCGAAGCAAGCGTCCTTGGAGTCTAGCAGTGAAGTATGAGACTATGAGTAACTCAAATCATATTCCATATACGATTTTGGCTCATTAAAAGGTCTCCAATTCGAAAAAGTAACACAATTTTTTTTTTGTCTACATGTACCACGGTAGAAAATTCGAATCCAGTTAGATTGGACCAAACCTGATTATGTCCACAGTATATGCAGTGACGAATCTAGAAATAATTTTTACTAGAGTCATAATATAATAACGAAATTAATAATTAAAAATTTCATATATTAATAGAAGAGACACTAGATAGAAATCCTAGGTGTCATCCTAAGAAAGTTTTAAGGAATTCATTTCCTAATAAAAATTATTAATAACAAATATATAGAAATAACGAATATGACAATATGTGATAATTAATATAGAAAATTTTATTTAACAAATATATAAAATATTTGAAAATATCTTATTTTGTTTTCAATAATACTAGATTTTTTAATCCGAATCAAAAGCGATATTAAAATATTCAAAAACAAAAATTCATGATTATTTTTTATAAATGAGAGAAATGAAAAAAAACAAAGATAAAATATATTTATGTTTGATCAAAATTTAGCTCTGTTATATGTATGCACAATATATATCATTTTGTATGTTTATAAATATTAGAAAATATATTTAAATATTAAATTCGATTAAAAATATCTATAATTATTTAATCTTATACTTAACGAAAATCTAGTGTAATTTTAATATAAAACCAATGTATATCAAAAACATTTATGGTGTCACTTGACCCCTAAAGTTATTAGTGGGTTCGCCACTGAGTATACGTGTAGACAAACTAATTTCTTCGGTTGGCTCTCGTTATCAATAAGAATTAAAGATGGATTGCAAACGCCGATTAAAGATGGATTAGAGAAAAAAAATAGATCATGCAAAGGAAGGTAATTTCTTCAAATTGGGTATCTATAAGATTTCCAATCGGATACATTAGTTATGCTGAGTTTTGTTATGATGATGAATTTGATGATCGATGAGCAGATGTGAAGCCTTATACAAATGTGACGTTGACAAAAAAGTGAT